AAATGGACCATGCCGAGTCGGGTCAAGTCTTACCAATTATAGTTATGGACTTAGACATTAATCCAACAACATATACATATCAAAATTGGTCAACATTGGACCATACAAACTTCAAGTTAGTACATCAATACATACACACAAAAATGGTCAACATTGGACCTTAATCGACATTAATTCATACTTAAAGACTTACCACAACTTCTTCCTACTTATGCCTTCTACACCATCCAAATCAAAATCCCTACCACGACTAGTAAAATAACAAGCAAACCAATCACAACCCTAACAAGAAATACCAAACTTATTTCACCATGATGAGGGTTCCCTTTTCCCTGTCCAATGCTTTTTTCTTCTTTACCACAACTTCAAGCAGAAGTTCCTTGTACCATACTTCACCATCATACCATTCAAAGTAGCTAAAGTCTTCAACTTCATCGGGCCAGTACATGCACCCAAAGTATCTTCTACCAGGATTCTTCTCACTCGTTGATATCTTCATTAGGGCTGCTAGTCCACAGTAGCACGTCCTAGAGGGACCATTGTTTGACTTGTTTACCCCACTCGTTGATCCAACTGATCGAGACGAAGACACCATTGTACAATCCTCGTGAAGAACTGAGAAGAAAAAGTGAAGATCGATCTAGGGTATAAGGGTAATAAGAGTTGAGGCTGTTAGGGTTCATTTATAAAGGCTCAACTGCTGTGTAGGATCTAAGTTGGATGCCACATAAGCTAATGGCCTAGTCAGCAAAGTGAAAACCGGTTGAACTGAAGGCAACCGGTAATATGGTTACATTTAGGAAAAAATCAATAACATGAGGTCAAAATTGAGACAAAAAAAACACAGTGTCAAATTAAATTTTTTGTATAAACTTAATGTCTTTTGTGCTATTTACTCTATTGATTAGGTTGTTTATTTGGATAGAGAATACAAATATTGGCGGATTGCATAAGAAATATTGGATGCGGTAGTGCTTACGACTCAATGGGTGCTTTGAAGGTTTTGCCAATGCATTATTATTTCATCCCAACAAACCGAAGAAGACCTTTTATTTTGGAAAGTAAATTAGATTCAGATAACTTCAAAATCCAACTCTAACTTTGTTTTCTTTAAAATATATTTTTTTTATATAATCTTCTACCTTTCCAAAAAAAAAATCCCAATTAATGATTACGAACTCTACGGAAAAAAAAATATATGACACTCTTATAATATACGAGTTATGATCCTTATATGAGTTGGTATAGATTTATATGAAATGGCAAACACATTTTATTTTTATTTTGTGTCACCTTTGTTTTCTTCTTTGATAAAGACCAACAATTTGTTTTTGTTATTAAAGTTGCCAACAAACAAACCATACATGTTTTTTTTTTCTTTCTAATTTTTCTTTTTACAATTTTAAACTTAATGTATTAATTAAAAATTAAAAATTATAGGAATTGGTTCCGATATAATACATTCGGGTCTAGGGATTAGAACAAGTGACATATCTATAGTTGCATAACCATGTTTTAGCTCATAGTTTTTTTATAATTTTCTTTTCTAACTATTGCTAATTGTTTATAAAATTTACGATGTTCTAAAAAAATAACATGTGTTTCAAACCTTACAATAATAATAATATGTGTCGTCAAAAATACCAATAAAATTTCCGTCATTCAAATAAAAAACAACAACAAATATGCGTTGGAAGCCTTAAAATAACAATAATGCTCTTATTACTTGGTTTATTAGTCATCAACGGATTTAAGTGGTTTTCAGGGGGTCCCGAGACACTATTCGATTTCAGCTCGTTAGTGGAGTATTTTTTTATTTTATTATTATTATTATTATTATTATTATTTTTTATTTGTATTAAGGTGCGCTCACTATAAAAATATGTGTCACTACTAGTTTATAGGTCCATAAAAAACATTGTGCTAATACTACTGTAAGTTCTTGCGTCCACCACTTTCGGTCATATAACAAGTATGTAGTTTTTCGTTGTAGGTTTATCAGACTAAAGCTTAAAATAAAACTTCAATTTTATAAAGGGAATAAATTTTTTAAAACAAAAACACTTAACAAAAAAACATGTTTAATAAATATTTATATTTTTTCTTAGAAATAATATTAAGTGTAAGCTATAATTTATAAACTAGATTTCAATATGATGGTTCTTTAAATTCAAGGGTTTAGGTCATTTTTGATCACTTAACTTTTGGTTTTGTGCTCATTTGGTCACTTAACTTTTTTTAAGTTTTAAAGGTCATCAAACTTTTGAATTTGTGCTCATTTAGTCATTTAACTTTTGGTTTGGTCACTTAACTTTTAGATTTGTGCTCATTTAGTCACCTAACTTTTAAAATTGTGCTTATTTCGTCACTAAACTTTTGAAAAAATTTAAAAGTTTAGTGACTAAATGAGCACAATTTTAAAAGTTAGGTGACTAAATGTGATCAAACCAAAAGTTAAGTGACTAAATGAACACAAAGCCAAAAGTTGGATGATCTTTTAAAGCTTAAAAAGAGTTATGACCAAATGAGCACAAAACCAAAAGTTAAGTGACCAAAAATGACCTAAACCCTAAATTCAACAAGGTAAATTTTCATACACAATAAACGAAATTTGTATTTTAGTTAGTCTTATGTTTTTATCTTATTTTTTTTATAAATTTTTAACTACATTTCTTGTATTTGTGTTCTTTAAATTCAATAAGGTAAAATTTCATACACAATAAACGGAATTTGTATTTTAATTAGTCTTATGTTTTCATCTTATTCTTTTATAAATTTTTAGCTAAATTTCTTGTATTTGTATTTACATTGTGGATAAATGGAAAACATAAAACACAACAATCATATAAATAATTATATACTATTGTCTAATTTACCTCATTAAAAGCATACTAGCTTCTTCAATATTCCATGCCTTGCTTTTACGCACTCCCAAAAGGCTCTCTTTTATCTCATCACTACACATGTATATAACTCCTTTTCCTGCTCCATCACTTACTAAACTTCTCCTTCAATGGATTGCTTTCCTATCATATCTTAGAATTCCAATAAAAGCAATGGAATTCAATTCTATTCATCATCTATTTCCCAAATTATCATCTCCTTGCTCACATCCTCTTTTCTCCATCATTGTAACTCTTTACACCTTAATTCTTCTTTACATTCCATCTTTTTTCATATCAATAGCTTTATCTCCTGTTCTTAATTCCACGGGAATCATACTCATTTCTCTTCTCAGATTAGGAGTGAACAAGTTAGAAAAAGAATCAAGATTTTTAGATTCCCGTGACAATGAGAGGTTGGCAAAGGAATCCTACTCTTTGGAATCAAGAGTTCTTGATTGCAACGACAACCATTCCAACCTTATTTTGTATTCAAAATTTGCTCCAGAATCTAAATCTTTGGAATCAAGACTTATCGACTTCGTAGCCCAAAACCAAACTCATGCAGAATTTGAGCCTGAATCTGTTTTAGACTTGGAATGCAATGAAACACATGTGGAGTTTGAGCATGATATGGTATTGGAATCCAATTCCATTGAATCATCACAAGTGATTAAAGAAGGGCCCATATACGAGCCTAAATCTGGTTTAGGCTTGGAATGCAATGAAACCCATGTGAAGTACGAGCATGATATGGGATCGATGTCCAATTCCATGGAATCAACACAAGCGATTGTAGAAGGAGGGTCAACATACGAGCCTAAATCTGGTTTGGACTTGGAATGCAAGTTTGAGCATGACATGGGATTGGAGTCCAATTCCATGGAATCATTACAAGCTATTGAAGAAGGAGGGCCAACATACAAGCCTAAATCTGGTTTAGACTTGGAATGCAATGAAACCCATGTGGAGTTTGAGCATGACATGGTATTGGAATCCAATTCCATTGAATCATCACAAGTGATTGAAGGAGGGCCCACATACGAGCCTAAATCTAGTTTAGACTTGGAATGCAATGAAACCCATGTGAAGTACGAGCATGATATGGGATTGGAATTCACTTCTACGGAATCACCTCAAGCGGTTCAAGGAGGGCCAAAAATATTGGAAACGGGTCCCAAACAAGTGGATACAACAATGGCGTTTCTTGAATGGAACATGAGAGCACCATTGGAGATCATATATGAAGCATACGAAGGAGAAGAAGATGATGAAGATAGTAATGAAAATCATGAGGTTTCCAATGATAAACATGATGTGGGTTACGAAAGATATCCATCTTTATTGATGTATTATCCGGATAGTGAGACAGATAGCTCCTCAGATGGCGATTTCCCCATGAATGAAAAGTGGGAAACACATGAAAGTGTGTTCTTCAAATGGGAAGATGAAGAGGAAGAGCGGGAAGAACTTATTGAGATCTCATTAGATCATTATGGGAAGAGAAGTATTGAATGTTGTCATGTTGAGGAAGATAATTTGATTGAAATTGACCTTTTTGGCACCAGAAGTTGAATTTTCACTTCTTCAACTATATACAGGTAATAGGTACAATTTCGCAAAAAGTAGTAACTAGAGTTTTAAACTATGGTACTTTTTTTTTTGTTCTAAATAATATCTGTTTTATAATGGTGAAAATGGAGCACTTCTGAATATGATAAAGAAAGATTTTTGACAGAACTGTTTTTATACATTTAGTTTTCATAATTCTTTTGAAGTCATTATCTTTTTTTGGTTATCTACTTGTGCATATTGAACAGATTAATTCTTCTTTTCAAATTTTCTTATTAAAACAATTCATTTCATTATTGTATTCAGATTTTAGTAACTATCTTTAATTATTTACATAATTGGTATTCTTTGTTGTATTCAACTTTAATAAGCTTTAACTGTTATGTTTGAACTGTTTTATTGTAAGAGATAACATATGATCAAAACGGTTGATATACAAACTTTGATAGTAATAAATAATTTCAATAACAAAATAAAATAAAAAAGTCAATGAATGATATCTATACAGGGAAAGCGTGTTACTTAAAACATAATAATATGTGGACACTGCAAAAAATCAGTGTCTTGGAATATCACATTGACAGAAAGCCAAGTGATATGTTTCCCATTAAAGTTAAAAGAATGGTCCATCCCATGTTCCAGAGGTCGTTGTGACTAAACTACCCTTTAGACATCTTCTTTTAAATAAAGACACATTTTTAAGTTATATGAAAAAGTACTGAGCCCTAAAATATCCAAACTTGGGCTGCAAGAAGTCACCTAAGAACTTGAAAGAATAGTAGTGATTTTTTTCCTATCGGTAAAGAAAGGAACCAAGAGAGTAACGGTGATAAGAAAATAAAGATCTTAGTAAGGTAAATCGTATAAAAGTTACTATATTTAGAAAATGAATATTATGTTATTTTTGTTACAATTAAGTTTTTTAACGTTCTGAAATATTAACTCCTTAACCGATCAACTCAATTTGTTTTTCGTTAACTTGCTAGTATTTGATGACATGACATGCTGACACCAGAGGCGGAACATAGAAGGGGCTAGGGGGGCCATGACCCCCCTGATTTTTTATCTACCAAATAGCAACAACTATAGAATCGTGATTATATAAGTTAATATTCTAAGAAATCAAAACACTAGCCCCTCACCTTTTTTCTACCGAATATTAGTAATTAAACTTAACATTTTTAGAAAATCAAAAGCAACCATATATTATCAAACTTATCCAAGGAAAACTAATTTGACTAGAAAGTAGAAAATATACACAATAATCGCATAAAAAGTTGGAGACTTACAAATTAACCATATAAAAATTCTATGAAATCAATTATTTACTTACATCTTCAAATCAATAAACCCTAAAAATACTATCGCCTCCGCTTCTTGTTGGATCACACTGAAACTAGAAGATGTCAGATCGCTTTTCCTTGGTTTGAAACAATAACTAGTTCTTCCGCACTCGTGCAAGTTACAACTCACCAGACTTCTTGCTATCTCCCTTTTTCAGGTTCAGTCGACTCTTCTCCGTCGGCTCTTTATTCTCTCTCCTCCCCGAGTCGCCGGCGCCAGACCACCACTGCTTTCCTCTCAGCCGACTCCACAGCGCAGGTCCACATTTCCTCTTTGTGTCTCTTCATATCACTTAAGACTATGAGTCTCTTACTACTCTCTCCGTCTCTCGTTTCTAGATACTGATAAGTATCTCATTTATATATTTATATTATAAATCTTTAGTCACAGATGTAGATGGATGTATAGGGGTAATAAAGATGTAGTAGGTACAGCATAGATATATAGGGCACTGGTGATGAACATAGATGATAAAATGTATGTATAGGGGTAATAAGTACAACATAAAAAAAAGTCTTACACAAAAATAAAAGACGTGGTACATATGTATGGGTAATAAAATTGGAGTCAATAAAGTTGGAGTAATTGTGATTTTAGATATATATTTACCATGATAAATTCAATATATATATATATATATATATATATATATATATATATATATATATATATATAATTTTTTGTAAATATTAGTTTCGGCCCCTAGCCTTTATTGTTGGTGTTCCGCCCCTGGCTGACACTACATTATTTAATTATTTGACGTTGACATGACATGATAACGTGTCAAAATTGAAAAAACATTGGTACAAAAGACTCTAAGACTACAGATGTGGGTGCGGTAAGGGAATGAGTATTCAAATTTGACATTTTTTTGTTCCACATTAACATTATGGTTTTCAATTTTGGTTCAAAGTTGGCTATTTCTTTTTAAAACCATATAAATATTTTTTTTTCGTTTGAAATTGTCTAAATATAATTTTTTACGTTTGAAAATTATATACTTTTATGTAAATACATGTTTTTTTTATTTAAACCGTAATGTTATGTATAATATGTATTATGTATATTGTAACAGTATATTTCTTTTTTTTATTAAATACACAATTTTAATATAGAATATGAATTTTCACATATAAATATATGATTTGAATGTAAAAATATGGTTTAATTGCAAATAAATGCATCAAAATACAGTTTAAATGTAATAAAAATATGCATTCCTTGTAATATTTTTGGTAATTGAGTCATTGTTATATTTTTATCCACATAACTTATATGTCGTTCCAAAACATAGTTATATTTTTATCCACATTATTATTATATACAAGGTTGTAAAAATCGATCGACGGTAGCTCGACGGTCGACTGATGTTAAGGGATTAATCGGTCTTGGCGGAGATTAATCGTGGATTAATCGGGGACCATAGATTATTAATAAAATTTTAAAATTAATCAAATATTAATATAACTTAAGAAAAACAAATACTTCAAAATTAGAAACTAAGAAATTTTGTAATTTGAAAATTTGAGAATACGAAAATATGAACATTTTGGTATAATATTTAAATTTTGGAGTAAAAAAAAGTTGATTTTTTGAATTTTTTTTTGTAATTTTTAATTTTTTTTTTGACTTTTTTGACTTTTGTTGACCGATTAATCCCGCCAAGATCCTAAATTTCCGATTAATACCCTAATCATCGACGGTTGGAGAACGTCAAACGATTAATCCACGATTAATCGCCGATTAATCCCGATTTATGCAACCATGATTATATATAACGTCACACTTTTTATATTGTGAAATTTGTTCGCTTTTTCTTGTTTTATTCGTATTTTATGTTAGTAAAAGAGTTAGCAAATATCATTTATAACTTTGATATTTCAATGATCATGTGTGAAAATATTTTTTAAAATTTGTAATTTCGACCGTATTACAATGAGTAATATGAAACAAAATTTGGCATAATGCAAAAAAACCTTTTATTTAGATTTCATGTAAAATCTAAAATTCAAAAACATATAATGCATTTGCATTGTTTGATTTTCTTTGAAACAAGATTTTTGAAGATTAATTAACTATAGATGAAAGTATATTGCAAGAACTAAAGATTATATATATATATATATATATATATATATATATATATATATATATATATATATATATATAT